GTAAGATGAAAAAAAAATTATATAGATGATGCAGACCAGTGGAATTCCAGTAAAGCTGAACTGAAATAATGCAGAAAAATTGCCGACACATTTGTACAGTAATTTGTTAGTTGCAAGCTCTATATCTTCCATTAGTGCTGTGACCCCTGTCATTAAATTGATGAGTTACAGAGAGCTGTGGGTTCGGTGGTTGAACCAAAAGGCAGACTGTCTATCCTTTTTAAATGTTTGCTAAACAGTGCTTGAATGAACATTGCTTGGTCCTGGGCCAATGAAGTGACCAAGGTATCACTTTGGCTCTTCAAGCTTCAGTGTGTCTCACTTTATGAAAAAGCCCCTGATTTCTTGTTTTTATACAGTCAAGATCCCTTACCTTTCCCATGCAAATCCACTGTTTATGAGTAGGGTGTAGCCTGCATTCCTGCTCTGTCCTCTTGTGTGGACACGTGATTTCTGAAAAAATACACACTGGTGGGCTACAGGTCAGCCTTTGCCTCTGAGGCAGCTTTCTGGCTAGCCCTTGTCTTGGAATGAATCAGTGAGTTAATGTGTGTGTGCTCCCTATGGATCTGTGTGACAGGTATTCTTTTTCCATAAGCAGCCTGCTTCCCATTGTTTCCTGTTGTAATGACATCAGTGGGCTATGAGTAAGAATGAAATCATTAAATTTAAATGGAATTTTTTTTTCAGGTGCTTTACTTGATTCACATTTCATAATGTTAAAACGAACTTTGCGCAATTCAATTTTCCCTGTTCTAACCTCTTTTGCATATTTCCTCATAGTATTTCTTGCCTCAACAATTCCTATTGAGCAACAATACATTTTTTCTGTGCTTTGAGAGCTGCTGTGTTCCTGGTGTACACAAGGATGTTGATAGAACTTTGTGTTGGCATAACAAGACTTATCAGATAGTGTATTTTGAGAGCTTTCTTATTCTACTGGACCTCCTGTGTCTGAAGGTTATTCAGTTTCAAGTTCTCACCTCTGTGTTAAATCAGAACACCAACACATTCAGAGTATAAGGACACCATAGATGCTGTTAAACTATAGTCAGTAATTCCCAACCAGGGGTGCTTGTCACCCAGAGGGTACTTTTGCAGTTGTCAAGTAGCACATTACATAAAAATTAGACAGCATCTTTTAATAGGAAAAAATACTAGCTTGTTGCATCTGCTGTAACACTTTAACAATGTGTGTTGTGATGGCTGTGTATGTGGAAACCAGGTAACAAGCAAGAAGAGGTCTAAAATGCTAAAAGTAATGCATAAGCATACATGGTAGAAATAGTTTACTAAAATATATAATATATAATATATGGATAAATAAGTAAATGTATTGGATAAGTGGTTGAAATAGTTTGGTTTAATGAATTAAACAGCAATTAGTTACCTAAAAGTAATAGATGAATGGTTTAAATGTCTGGTAAATGGGAGTAATACAAATGCAACCAACCTAAAACATCAACAGTTCACATTGTTTATATAATGAATAGTGTGAAATAACATCCAGTGTAAAACCAATTCAAATGAACATATTTGGAATATAAAGCGTGGTGTTGATGGAGGCGTGCTTGAGTTTATGTGACAGAGCTGTGGGGAGACATAAGACCAAAAAGGTTGGAAGCCAACAACTCCCCTCACGCATTTCAAATCATCTTTGAACCGCCTCCCGTGTTGAAACTTCTGCATTTGTGGTTTATTGCAGTTGTTAGTAGGCCTAAAACAGATATTATATAATCTAAACTAACTGCTTATAATGACTGGTGCTCATTGCAGAGAAGTAAATATTTGAAATATGACCGCCACAGAGCACTTAGCCTTATAAGAGGAAATTATGATAGTAAATCTGATACTGAGTGCAAAGGGGATGTCTGGCTTTTGAACCCATTCAAAGTTTTCTCACTGCCCTTACCCATCCCGTCTCAAGAGAGAAATGGACATTTGCCAGGTTTATGAGTAACATTTCCTGATTAATGGGGTTTTGTGAAGAAGGATATGGGGCACAGCCAGGAAGTGACACATTTGGCCTCTGTTTAGACAGATCTTCCTCTTGTAGCCAGTACGAACTCCCAATGGGCAACAAAAGGTCAGATAACACTCCAGTGATTGGAAACGAAGGACTCAGTTTGTTTACATGCCCTAGAGGAGCAGAAATAATATTGCCCGTATGAATTGGCAAGTCGAACTGGTATAACTGCATACTGAGCAAGACAGATGCACTGTCGTCAGTGAAACAAAAGCCATGTGTGTGCTCAGATATGTTTCTCACATTCTGCCCATCAACAAACTTCTCAGTTGTGTTAAATGTCACATTGAGTGCAGTCAGACCAAACAAGCTTGCTTCTCCACTTCAGTCTGATACTAATGGAAGCAAATACGTTTCTCCCCTCCAAAACCACCTTTATCATCATGTACTTAATCCGCACTTGCACAATTGATCTTATTCAGAGCCCTCTTGTTGTGTTTTGGTCCTGCAGGTTTCTGCCTGCCTGCACTTGTCTGTATTTCTGAAGAAATAACCATAAATAGGTAATGGCACCTCTGGCTATTGTGGCTGTGCAAATCTCCTACCAAAACAAATATTCTTGGGTGAGTTCACATTTGCTGATAGGCATGATGATTTTTAAAGTATGACTCACAACTGTGTTTTCAGTCCCCCTTGTTAAAATAACAGAGGCAGCTCCAAACAAAGCAGCCCTGATGTTCTGGGTCTCTATGGACCAGCTTTAGCATACTGTTTAGCACTCCTTTTATAGGTAATGACCTAGGTGAATTATGTAAGCTTGTGCATAGTCCTGAAATCAACATCCAAACTCTGGATCGTTTTGCCTTCATAAGGTAATTCACAGGCATTGGAGTGACATTCAGTTGAAACCCAAAAGTTTTTGCATTCATTTTTGATGAGGAAAATGGCTCTCTGCCTAAGATAGGTCAGAGAGCATCACAATTTACTGTTGCCTCAATCTGAGTTTTTTACCATTATTATTTGATGGACTTCACAACCAAAACAAACCTTTTTGAAATGCTAACTTTTTTAACCCTAGAGCAAAAATGTAACATATCTCCTGTGACATCCTTTTCTTATCAAGCTGTGGAGCTCCTGAAGGCTTGAAGCTGGGTAGCAGTGGATTTACCACTACCAATTGATTAGGCTTGCCTTTTTAATAGGCCATTTGGTTTTCCTGTTATGCAGTCAACTCCATTTAAAAAGCTTTAGCCTCATCTGATCCTGGTTACCTTCCTAGAATTGGTTCTAGTTTCTGTTCTGGCTGTTTGATTGGCTATGGATACTTGCTCGCTGGACTAACAGGAATGGAAATTAACTGTGCTGATTTGTTAATTTAACAAACAGATGGTGATTTTTTTCTACATAGGTTAGAGCATATATTTCCCACAGTGGATGGACAACATGTAATAGTCTAGCAGTTTATGGTTTAACTGCATTTAAATTTACACAAGGGAGGCACTGTGGTCCCTTATTGTTTAGCCAAGAACCGTTATGTTAGGTAGAGGAGGGATAGGAGAGGTCAAGGTGAAGACTGAAACACACACAACCACTTAAACACACACACACGCAGACACACAGACACACACACACACATCCCCTGACACGCACTGATTTCCTGTCTAATTTTTCAAAGCCATAAATTTGAAGTGGACCGAGAGTCCTAATTCTGAGCTGGTTTTTATAGCCCAGCAGGTGGTCAAGGGTCTGAGGGATGCAGTTGAGATTTGTTCAGTCTTGTCATCATTACAGAAAAGGCTCTTACGACCAGGGCAGTCTCACATCTCCTGTCCCTCTTGACTTGACCCATTCTTCACTTTCCCTCATTGTTCCTGACTCTTTAATTACTAACACTTTATAGACAAAACACCCTCTTGTATATTTTCCCCCTGTTCCCTGGCTATAAATGTGAGAACCAGGGTGCTGAATTAACTTATGCCCTGCCATTTAATGGAAAACAGGGGGCTACATTAACCCCCCCAACCTCTCTAACATAAATATACCTCCTTTTTATTCATCTCCTTCTCTTCTGTTTGGCTTTCTTCAGACAGAAGCCCCAAAGCATCGTAAGCATACTTGTGATGTGAAAAACGTCTTGGTGTGGAGCAGTGAAAACCTGCGCACACACAGTTTTCATTGCTGCTGTCAGCTGGTGATGCATTTACATAAGTGCAATTTTCAAATCTCTGCATCTCAGCCATGTGTGGTTTTCTGCTCTGTGAATACTTAATGGAACAAAATGAGCTCAACTCAGCCTCCTAATTTTTACCTCCTAAATTTAACGCTTGGTATTGAAAAGTGAAAAGTTATTAAATAGAAAATGTTTTATTGTACAAGAGGTGGAAAGATGCTTAACAGATTTCCCTTCTCAGGGACACAAGAGCCTGGAAGGCTATACCAGAGTCACACACTGGAGTAAGCGCACAAATATAGACAAAACACATTCACACTCACACTTAAGGGCAATCTAGACTTTCTCATGTACTGTGTTTGTAGTAAATACAGAGTCATTATGGGGTGGGATAATGTTCAAGAGGTGATTAGCCCAGGCACAAAGCCTCAACTAAGTGAGGAATAAAATGGGATGAAGATGTTATTTGATGTGTGTTTCTCACTTTCTCTTACTTCCTCCTCCCTCTTTCCAGCCGGCTCCATGTGAGTCAATGGAACAGAGGTTATATGAGAGTCTCGCTGTGGTGGTCGGCTGTCTTTGAGCAGAGCTGGCTGACATCATTCTCACAGGGGGGTGGGGTGTGTGTGTCTGTGCGGTGGGGGGTTAGCTGGGGCAGGGCAGAGCTTGGCTTGGAGCTCTACATTTAAGGCAGTTTCCTATGAAAGCTGGAGAGGTAAATGTCTCGGTACATCTGGTTTTACACAGTTTTAGAGAGCCTGTCTTCTGACATTGAACTCTATAATCATAACGCACTAATGATCTCTTCCTTTCTTGTTTGCAGCTCTGGGGTGATTTTGATGGAGTGAGACATTGCTATCGAGGAAGATCTACAAGAAACTTGGACACCATACCAGTTGAAGAAGCAAATTTGAATCTTATCATTTAAACAGTGTTGAACTGCATAATGGATGGAATAGACACCTTGCAGAGCTCAGCCCCAGAGACCAAGGCTGAGCGAATTGCCCGCTACAAAGCAGAGAGGAGGAGGGAGCTTGCTGAGCGCTATGGCAACACAGAAGAATTCACCTCCAAATATGTCCGCAGGGACAGGAAAATTGCTGACGCATCCGAAACTGTGTCTTCAGTAACCAAGGAGAAGGAAAAATATGAGGATAATGGAGCAGAGCCAACATATAGCAGGAGGGGCCTCAGGAATAAAGTAGTAGAACCTGTGGAGCAAACTAATGATGAAAAAGAGGCTACCACTCACCTCAAAACAGATGCAATTTTATCCTCCAAATCAGAAGCTGTCTCCTCCATAAAGACGACCTCTCATTTCAGGTTAGTTTATTCACATTTCACACGTTTAAACAAAAGCACACTCCTTTTTACTCATTGTTTGTGCAAGACCAGTGACACTGTTGTTCTCAATGTGACATAAACTTGGCCGTAGACATTAAACACTAAGCTGACCATAGAGACTCAGAATGCGAGTGCAAGTGGCCCAGGCTAACATCTCAGGAATAGACTTCAATAAAATCAGCATTTATTGTTTAGATTTTCTTGTATGTATCTCAGTTTTGACTACGGTAAGAGTACGGATAGGGCAAGGCATTGTTCAGAAATTTTCGAAAATCGTTACTGATGCAGACACCTTCACTTTGATACCAATTCTTAACTATACTTTTTTATGTTCCAATTTTATCAAATCCATTTTAACAAAAAGAAAATTACGATACAAATTGTGGTCCAAATTTTAGTTTTACTTTAGTTTTATTTCATCGCTTGGTCTCTTTAAATACTCTAACATGCTTGTGTAAATAAACAGCCAATCATCAGCATTATTGGATTTTGGTCTTAGCATGCTACGTGCTTATTGGCTCACTGACGCTGATGAGATTTAGTAATTTACATACATATTCATATTACATCCATAAAAGTATGAAACTCCGATCCCTGGCTGTAAGTGCGGACAGAGTAATGAATAGCTATACAGTCTATACACACATGACGTACAAATAACTCTGCTGAAACTTGGAGCATAATGATCAGATCCACGCAAAAATTGCCATTGAACAGTAGCTCTTTCTGAGGTATTCCTTGATTTAGAGAACATTTGCAGCTTGTAAAGACGTCTATTAGATTATTGTAAAATGGCTTACTGGCTTCTAATGAGTGAAGAGGACGCAACAAGTCTGCACATTTGGAGACCACTTAGTGCTATCTGCTGTTTGAAGTAAACACGGCTGCTAACATTTCCAAAATTGGCCATGCGTGCAAGGCAGAGAACTGCCACATTTATTTTGCCATGGTATGCTTTGCAGTGATGATATGCACGCTCCTTGTTTTGGTTCACTTTAGAGTCATCTGGGGGTTCTCACATGTTTAGCACATTTGGGAATAACAAACCGGTCTTGTCAGGATGACTTGGAAGACTTTGGAGTTTTCATATATGCTGCCAGGAATGCTTTTCTTAGAATTGTGCATAGAGTAAGACATGTCCAGTCGTGGGTCTGGGGATGTTTCAGCTGTAATCAAGCAGGGGATTCTGCTGTTTGCACATAGCCAGACTTGTCTGCTCTTGTCTGCTTTTTGAAAAACAGCCTGAGGGAATGACAATAGAGAGCGAAGAACTGAGGTGGACAGGGCTTTAAGATAATTTCAGAGTTTGGAGCTTGCGGGGGAAGGGAAATTGAGCTTTGCCAAGTTTTCATGCCCTGTGCTTAATGAAGCATGATATCTAGATCGATTTGATTGATGGCTTGTTAGAACCGTTTACTTCATAAGACTGGGAAAGACATGTCTTGTGTTCTAATAGACCTTCAAAATAAATGCAGTACACGCAGAACAAAGTTTCATCAGATCTTATCTGATAATCTCTCATGGCAAAACTGTATTAGTTTAACAATGAAATGTATTTTTTTTGTTTGTTTTGGATATCGTCCTGTTTATATCAGAATGTGTTTCATTTTTTCAGTGCAAAATTTCGTGTTGAAATGGATACAGATCATAAATCTTTTCAAGCATAAGGTTTGTGCTTATTTGTGGATATAGAGGAAGTTTAAATAAAATTGTGTTTTGCAGCAACGTGCGGTGGGAAAGGAGCTGTTTTCTTCCAGCATCGGTTAACCACAGCAGAATGAATATTTGGCAAAATACAGAGTAAAGTCACACACAAAGATATGGATGACATTTTTAATTACAGAGAGCACGAAGACGGGTTGACGTGTTGATGTGTTTGTCTCACATGCCTGTCACGTTATCTACTAATCTTGTCAGTTTTGTTATGAGGTTTGCTGCATGTCAAATTCCAGCTGTGCAGTCCTGTGTACATGCACACTCGTGTCACTCGGTGACACTTGTTAAAACTCATCGGCTGATCCCCCCACCATATATAAGAGGTTTATTTGTATATTATGCTTTCACCATCAGTTCCAGGGAGTGATTGGAGATATTTGTGTTCTTTCAAAGTATCCTTACAGCTCATTCTGAATTTCATATCAGTACAGTATATCCCTGATTCCTGGCTGACTTGCATGTACTTTATGATTAGAGCTTCGCAAATATTCACTGAGCCTTGTTAGGCAGTGTGTTTGTGTGCGTTTGTTACAGAAATAGCATGAAGGAAACTGGAACTCATCTGTCCCAGTGATAATGAAAACTGTCTGTCAACAGGTTTATCTGAGGCAGCCAGGAATCCTCCCCACGTAAAGTCACACTTGAATGGTGACATTCCAAAACACTTCACTTTGACATTTACAACTGTCACTTAAAATTCACCCTTCAATATATGATATATACAAAAATTTAGTACATATGATTTTTTTCAACAGCGGGGGCTGTAAGTATTTTCCCTCAATAATGGAAGCAAGCAAAATTATTTAATTGACTTGAATACCAAAAGTACACTTTTTGTATTTTTTTCTGTGTGCATTTATTTGATAATTGTTATTTTGACAGTTATCACAATGTTGATACTGAACAGATACTGAAGGTTGTTTTTCAAAAATGTAGTCAAAAAGCTTAAATTACTGATATGATATGAAAGAAAGTTCAGTTGGGAGAATGCCACCCTGACAGTGATATGACGGGAAAGAAGACATCTCACTCTGTATGAACTAAAGAAAACACTCACAGTTAATTTGTGGTTGTACAGCAGTGTTACAGAGTGGAGCTTCTTCCCCCACAATTTATCTCTGACAAGTGCTAAGAGCAGCATGTAGCGAGCACACAAACAGACAACAGCCAAGTTTAATTTAGGCCTGACATCATGTTACTGACAGAATTAACATTAATTAGTGACAGCTGATACAACGTACCACCAGTAACGTTTGTCATTTTAACCACTGAAAGTGACGCTCGGAGGGTGAGTAGCTGAGTAGCTGAATGATTTCTACACTGCTTTGCTAATGATTATTAGCATTGTGGCTTTATGAATCTGTATTTTTCTAATCTCAGTGTCTGATCTGAGTCTGTCACCGCTGCATCAAATGAATATTTCACTGTATTATGCAGGGGGATAGTATGGAAAGCCGAACCAAGCAGGTCGTCTGGCCAGTTTTGAGCTAAGCCAGCAGGCCACAGCAAGACTGCACCTCTGCGAAGTTGTGTAATGACATGACAGGGCAGCCGTCGCAAAATGTATGTAGCAGGAACTGTATGTACTAGGGTACTGTACTTGTGCAAACTTATCATGCTTCTTTACACATAGTAGTGTAAATAAGTAAAAAGAATGATATACAAAAGTAAGGTAATGGGAGTTGGATTCATAGTTAACTGTACACAATACTGTACGTGGTACAGTTTTTACATCTATTCCTGTTACCTGTCACAGTATACAGAATGTAGTTGATTTGTAGATTTTATCCATTTATGGGAAATTCATATGTGTTGTACTGTGTAGTAAATACCAGCAGCTGTGCTACTGGCACAATGGTGCTGGTCAAAAGCCTTGGATTAGAAACAAGACTGGATGACATTTGGCCTAATCTTTGTTTACATGGCTGAACTATTGCAGATTTATTGTACCATTTATATGAGGGGGGCAAGATTTCCAACAGTTAAATACACAAATTAGAGGAAACAAGAATTAAATCTTTTAACCATGTCAGAGTCATGATTATATCCATACTATACTCTTATTTCACCCCCCTCTCCCTATTTCACAGTGTCACTTAATGCTTTGTGTGTATGCCAGAATGTAATGGAGCAAGAATGAGAATGTTTACCATAAATCCTGAATACTAAAAGCCATTTACTTTTAACTTCAACTTCCCCCATTACTGTATTGCTGTTTTTCTTCTCGCCCAATCTCTGCACTCCACTCTTCTTATCTGGTTTTATGGGAGCATAGCAACAACATGTGTGGCCCCTCTCCGTCAGCCAGCAGTCAAAGTGTGGGTGGGGTTGATGAAGTGTTGCTGAGCCCTGCAGTTGCAGAGTAGAGCATTTAGTCACCAAGATTGCCAAGGTCTACAAACAGACTTTCCAGTAGCTTTAAATGGGTGAAGTTATGTAAATTATGTGACACTGTAATAAGTTAATTTTAAAGTTCATGTGTATATTACACAGCCACAGACTGGTGTGTATGACATCCCTGATATTGGTAACTCCAACAATTTGTCTTCCATCGCATTTCCCATCTCCAACTACACCATATTCACACACCATAAGTACCTTGGTCTGGCATATTTTGACTTCCCACAGTATGACAAGGCTTCGCTAAGGCAGTCCAGCCGAAAACTGACACAACTTTCTGCAGTAGCCAAACCCAATCCTAAAATTAATGTAAAAATTACTTTTCAACAGTGTTTTGGGACTCAAACAAGGACAAGTTAGATGACACTGAGTTGGATTCAATATTTAGTTATATTTTTGTTTTTCCCTCATAACATAGTCCACACTACAGTATTCTTACTTTTATATTGTTAAAGCGTTTATTTGATGTGTTTGACAGCTGAATAACTGCATTAAGATATGTATTCTACGTCATAGGTGTTTGATGTAATATTTTATAGAATATCCTGTAGTTTTTATTTAATCGTTCATCTTCAAAATGTCACTAAAATAGACACAAAGTGACTCAAAGCAACTCAGCTGCCATTGCTCACTGACACGTTGTCATGTGGTCAGTTGAAACTGTTGCTGCTGTATTTTAATGGAGCACAATGTTTTGTACTTGAAGGAAACACAGCATTTTAAATGGACCTGGCTTTATTTAGACAATGGTCCCGATCTCGATTGGGCAGATGAGCTTGGGGCTATCTCCCCTTCTTCAATAACCTTTGACCCCTTCCAGATGTCCACCATGATTCTCTATTGTGTTTAAAGCAGCCCCCCACCCCCCTGCCCTCCCTCTCCTGTTACATCAGCACTGCTGCCCCACAGGCAGCTGCTGTCCCCATCCATATTTAACGCCCATTACTTAGAGATGAATGGCCATCTTCAGATGCTACACAGGCATTGCTGTCTTTGCTAACAAGGGACTGGAAGAGCAGTTTGAGTAAATGTTGTGGGGTGCATAACATACAAGGGAGTGTAAGTTTCTTTCTTCATCCCTGTTCGTTTGGTTTATGTTGCATCTTTTTTAAATGTGGCTTAAGTGTACATTTTTGGATTATAGCTGTGTGATTTAGACTTCATATACTAATTTTTATGTCAAGCTTGTAAGCATCAGTTGTAACAGCTGTGTAATCCTGTCATCACCTCAGTATGTTAGAGTGACCTCATTTGTCTCTCTGTCTCTCTCTCTGTCACTCTCTCTCTCACTCTCACTCTCTCTCTCACTCTCTCTCCTAGGCTGCTGGAAACTGATGACACCACGGAGCCACAGGGTAAGACGAACCCTCCACTTACACCAGACTCACATCCTATATTGTTCCACGGACTGCTTTATCCCTTAACTCTTTCAAGCTATCTCTATTACTCAGTGTTAAAGGAACACTGAGCTCATTGCTGATGTCAGATCACCTACCTGGTTTATAGACCTTTTCTTTGTAATACTCTGCCACTGAGGAGGAGTGAAAGAAAACAGATCTATTGATGTGCTTGGACGTGTTTTATTGTCTAATTTGAAGTTTATGTCGAGCCTCAGGCAATGGTTTTCTTTCTCAAAAATAAGGGAGATAATGTTTGGCACGTGTTTGCAGAGTTTTTGTTCAAAGATCGGGCCGTAGGAGGTGCGCGCATACACTCGTGTGTTTTTCTGTGCAAATGTTTGACTGTATGCAATTACACTGGAAGCTTGTTTCAGCCAGCTAGCATTATGAGCTAATTTTGGAGCCTGCTACTATGGAGAGAAGAAAATGGTTAAGTTTACACATGGGCTACTGGCTGCTTTCCTGACTCAGTCAACCACCTGAGCCCACAGCCTGAGAGTCTGTCGCCTGTCTGTCTGTCTGTCTGTCTGTCTGTCTGTCTGTCTGTCTGTCTGTCTGTCTGTCTGTCTGTCTGTCTGTCTGTCTGTCGCCTGCCTGGTTGTACAAGAAAAAAAAGATAGCGACAAAGGGGTGATAGGAAGGTACCTTTAGCAAACAGCAGGTATGTCAGTATTTCAGGATGCGTGTTGCAGTGTTGTGTAACATTTTTTACTTGCAAACAGACGTTTCTACCTTTTTAAGTCAATCAGGAAGTCTGGTTGAACAAGTCTAAATCATTTTCAAACCTAATCAAAACAAAAGAAGCAAAGAACTAAAACTGGAGTCATAAGACTATAAAATATCGAAGCCATTATCTTGAGGTTACAGTATAAGCTAGTTCTCTAATCTAAGACCTTTTATGTTGAAAGGTTTTTCATTGTAATCACTGATTGAAATAATGCATTGTTCCTATATTTTCTAAATGTCAAAAGTGCAGAACACACATAAGTAGTAAATGACAGAGCTGGTGTATCCAAATATTATTGGATTATTGTATTTGACTGAGCTTCTAACTCATCCACTGCCATTAGTGGAGCTTTTTTGTTGCAGCAACATAGGCTTTATATGGGCTATACCATCATCTCAGTAAACTGGGTCTGATCTATGATGAGAAGTAAAATTTAATTCCACAACGTGAAGACAAAAATGAACAGTAATAATCTGCTACATACATTTTTGGAATCTTGGAATTTTCTGGTCCTTTAATACAAACATGACTTTAAGTTATTGTATTTGTTTCCTAATTGAATATTCCCCATTTGTTTTTACCATTTTATTTCATTTTTAATGTATTTTCTTATTAATCTTTAATAGTTTGCAAACTATTTTCTAATGTTCTACTTGAAAAACATCCAGTATGTTCGGAAATATTTAATATATTTATTTCATTTGAGTAAAATTTAGCCTGTTAAACCAAATCATTGATTTAGACCAAAAATATGAAGACAAAATAATACTGAATACTGGGGATTTCCTTTGCTCTGATGATTATCTGTCAAACATGGTTTGTAGAATAACTAGACTAAAAGAGACCAAAAATAACAGTGTATTTTTCTGGTTGGAAGAGAAACAGATACAGAAAGAGAAAGAAAAGACGGTCAGTGTTCATCTTTAATAGAGATACAGTATGTGCGTGACAGAGCCACAGAGTATGAGAGCACTGGCAGTGCATTCACAGAGCTGATGGAACTTCCTGTCCAAGCTGGCAGAGGAGTCAGTGCTCAGAGCCAGAACGCCTCTCATGGTCGCATCGAGGGTTTCCCTGACCCTCCAGCTTTCAGCTATCTTAACTGTTTCATACTAAGGCCTTCAGTTAGATGTGTTTCCACTGTGCAAGTGCAGTTTGTCATTAGTGCATTCAGAATGATTTCAGCTCACCATGACTTTGCTGGAAAGGTGCTACATCTAAACATATTTAGAACCCTTTTCTCCTCCATAATCATTGTAAACAATAGGTGGCCATATACATTGCAGGTGCAGTGTCTTCATTCAAAGCAAATACTCCTAGATTTTCCCTCTGGAGGGAGAGAGTCGGTGCTGCTGTAAAACATATTGTGCAGATTATATGAACTCTACTTTGTTTCACCATGTACTCTGATATGTGCAGACTCTATTGGCCATTAAAAGGTCAAACGCCCATCCAGAAAGTTCTCAGCAGCTAAAGCTTAGCAGTCTTGTGAGATGGATGAAAACACTTATTGAAGAGTCAGTGAACTTAAGTGGAGGTTTTTCCGTCTCTTGAGTTTTTCTTCTCTCGCTCTCTCTCTTTCTCTCTCCCTCTCTTTCACTTGGATGTTGGATGGATGATGATGTAAAAAGATTGGACCGGAGTTGAAAACTAAAGGAGTACAGTCTGAGTGGAATCAGCAGTCTGCAATGCTTAATGTTTCATCATCTGAACTAAATCATGCTAAGTTCTGGACAGCAGGGGAGCATGGAAACATAAATCATAACGAGAGTATTAGCCCTAAACTGAGCAGTTTTTTCCAGTGCAGAACAGGGGTTTTTCAGAGACATGCCATTATTTGGATTTGTTTGTTCCTCTGTTTTCTTTAGAGAGGGGGGCCACCTTGGCTTGAAATGTTACATTGTCAAGGCAATAAAAACAGATTTAGAGCTGGAGAATGGGATTGAGTGTGCTGACTTAAGAAATTTGTGTTGTTTTGGAATATCATTAAATTTAATTGTTTCCTTTTGTCCGGATTAGAAGATTATTATATTCTCAGGGCTGGTTTTGATTAGACAGCTCACATGAGAAATTATTTTCTTTCTCTTGCACACATAAGCACAAACACAAAGTAAATGTATTCCTCCCACATATCCCACAGTCGCATATCTTACTATCACTCTTTTATGTCAGAGTGACTCTCTGAATCCACTGGTGCCTGGTAACTTCTCAGACTCACCCTGAGGCCAGTGCACATATCGCACTTTTCCTTTTCTGATGCAAAGACACCTTAGAAGCACGAGTGAAGCCAATAAGATATATCCTGTCAATCTTCCTGTCTGCATTTTCAAGCTGTCCACGTCCACTTGACCTGAAAAGACTGTGGTGTGTGTGTGTGTGTGTGTGTGTGTGTGTGTGTGTGTCTGTGTGTCTGTGTGTCTGTGTGTCTGTGTGTCTGTGTGTCTGTGTGTGTGTGTGCGTGTGTGCGTGTCTTGTGCCGAGTTCAGCGTTTACATGCGATTGTGTTCAATGTTTACAAAAACTTAGTGCCAGACCAGACAGTGCATCATGTTGTGGATGCCAAACACACACCATCCATCTTAAACCATCTTTCTAACGTGACACTTTGCCCGATCATGTGCGGATCCAATTCTCTGCATACATGGTCAACCTTGTCTGTGTGTGTTCTTTTCAGTTAATGAGACACCTGTGAACTCATCCAAGAGGTCTGCTTCATCCAAAATGTCTCTTTCTAAGGTACGGTATTTTAGGTTTGTCTTCTACCTCCCCTTATCCAAATGTTGTGTATTGTGTGATTTATTGCATCTGTGTGTGTGTAACACAATTGATATTGCACAAACATTTAATCGTGTGAAACACTTTGTTGTTTGTCAAGGTTTTCATGGCTCAAAATATGGCATATTATGTACCAACTAAACCTTGATTAATTACTTGTTTTTAATGTAGAATATGTTTAAAGGATCACAGGTCCAAAGTACATTTACAATGCCCAAATTATCATAGAAGCATGTTTGCCTGATTCACACGTGTCTCAGCCACTTTCCAGCCTCCCCCTTTTTTAATTTAAATATCATTCCTCCCAAAACTGCCAAGATGACAGCACACAGATTACCAAATCCAAACTTCAAATCATCAATGTCTAATCGTATGAGTGATGTCACCGATGCTATATCCATATTTTATCACCAGTCTATGGTTAATTCTTTTTATATCCCTTGCTGCTTTAGTCAAAGCCCTTTCCAGTGCAGCTGGTGTATGCTTCAACCTCCCTCTGGAAGTTTGCTCCATTAATAACAAATTGAGCTGTTCCATACAGCTCTGAGCTGTCCTGCACCTGGATACAGGCTTGGCCAAAGTCATGACTTCCGCACACACAGTCCATGGAGGTCTCAAAGCATCGGTGGGAAGAAAAGTCTAGAGAGCCAGAAGATGCACTCGGAAACAAAAATTGGATAATGTCCCCAATCCTTAGGGAAAGCTACATGTGTGCTTAAAAATGAGCTGGGTATCGGGCTTTCCCAGGCTGGTTAGGTTTCAGAAGTGGTTGGGTTTCATGATATTGGATGTAAATAGCTGTTCAAACTTGGCCTTCACAGACCAGGAGCAGTGCCAAGGTTGGCCAAGTGAACGCAGATGGCAGCAAGACGCTCCAACCAAAAAAGTGCTGGGAAAACAGGCTCCCACAAAGAGGCTATCTCACAATCACACTTTTTCTTTATCTTTTTTTGTCTTCTCTCTCCGTCAGTTGTTCTGTCCTGCATCTCTGTTATTATAAGGTCTCTCACTTGAAGGTCATCAGCAGTGACAGATGCTCGTTTGCTGTCTTCACTTTGCCCTTATCACTCATTTCTCCTCCACAGTCACTGATGAAAGCCAGTGAATCAGTGTCTCCAGCAGGAGAGACCAAGTAGGAGTGAGGTTATAGTGTGTCTGCTTTCCAACACGGATGGAGGCAATAAAATGTGTGCATGCAGAATTCAGGAGAAAGATACAGCTCATTTATATTATGAATTTTATGACTGAATTTCCAGACTAGTATATAAAAACTTGTTTTGCAGAAGGGGATATATTCCTGCTGGGTGGAAAATAAGATCTTTCTTTAAAATCTATGAGGATCAGTTGGTTTCTAAGAGGTCTCTAATTGTGTAAGCTTCGGTATGTAATTTTGTGAAAAAACAGCATTTGATTTACATAGCTTTCCTCACAGCAGGAGATCCACTTATCTTCACCAGGTCACCCCAGGGCACCAGCAAAGTGTTTACTGACAAAGCTCTCACACAGCTGCACGGGTTCACACTGTATCCAGGTTTTAGAAAGTCTCTGACTACAAGTAGACCTAAAACAAGATGTGCAGAGATAAAGTGAGACTTAAATTACGTCTTTTTTTAATGGATCAAACTGATTGAGATTTTGTGATTAGATAAGGTCCCTTTCTCTTTTTCTATTCATCTTTCATTTAGCTGGTATCAAACAGGACTATCCATTTCAGGTTGATAGTGTATCTCCAAGTCTTGAAAAAAAAACCCTAGAATGCATTAAAAAGGTCTTAGATATTTATTTTTCCCTGTTATAAAATGTTTTGTATCTGATTGTGGGCTGTTAGAGCTAAAACCTGTCTTTATACACTTTTATAATTTTAGTGTACGACTGAGCATTGATAACTAGTATTTTACAAATTACAGTTTTTTACTTGATGAATGTGAGTTATACCACTGAAGTGTGACAAATAGCCAAATGGGTTTTATGTCTAAAAGAAAATGAAAAAAGACAGTGGGGATGGTGGGTAAGTTATGTAATCAGTGTGTGCCTGAACACTGTGTAACACTGATAACTCTGACTACTGCAGCAACCCATCCATTTTATGTTGCGTACTACACCCAGGTCACATTAATTCATTATATCATTAGGAATTATTGTTATATACTGCTAGGAAGTACTGAAAAATGTCATACAGTAATAAATGTTTATAGGCCTTATCATCTTTCATCATACTCTCAAAAAGGCATTAAATTGCATCCTATGTGGTATTAAAAAGATCATAAAATGTCTTAAAACTTGGTTTCTGCAGAAAATGAATAACTATTTTGTTTGATTTGCATGTATCACTCACTGTTTTAATTGTAAAAGGCCTATGAGAGAGTAATAACCCTACATCATCAACTGTATCTTACTCTCTGATCTTAATATGGACAGTGAGTCAGACAGTGGACCCAGTGAAGCAATGTTTAACCTTTACAGAAGGTAAAAAAATAAATAAAAACAAACCAAAATGGTTCCCTCGAGGAGACTTTGCTTTAATGTGGAAAATACAGCACTGGCAGTGCTCATCTGTCTCCATTTTAGTTTGTACTGTATGTACTCAAGGTGTGTAGATTTCTCATACTTGCTCCAATCCAGTAAAACCCTCCTTCTCAGTCACTCATAAACCACAGCCCTGACCTCTGAACAAGTGGAGGGGTGGAGCCTTATTCATTCACTCACTTCCTTATCAAGATTTGTTTCTTACAGCTGGTGTAAGGCTTCAGCATTATGTCTCAAAAATCCAACCCCTAACCTTCACCCCTCTCTCTGCCTGTAGGACCTGGATGGGACAGAGGATGGAAGCAGCGACAGACATGCTGGTGACGGAGTAAAGCGTCAGCTAATGAGCAGTGACGAAGAGGAAACCTCTACCAGGTAAGCAGGTTCAAACTGCTTTTCATGCCAGCATGGTCAGATCTTTTTATTAGACCGACTACATTAACACTTTGGAATGGAGCTGTGGGTTTTTTTTTTTACCAGTCAAGTGAAATTTTGTGGACTGTGATATATTACGTATACTACAACACAAGCAGATAGAACACCCTTGAAACCGACTGACACTCTTACACACAGACTGAGCAGACTGAAAGGAGCACAGAGGTAATTACAGAGCAATTGAAAGGCTGTCCATTGATGTAAACAGCTGCAGAGATAAACCAGATAAACCTGCAGGGCTTGCCTTTAATAACACACTCTCTCTTACACACACACACACACACACACTATGTGGTAGCCATGGTGATGCAAACCAGATTGAAGTTGAAGCAGTTACAGCCAAACTTTACTTAGCACTGTAACCACTGGAGTAAGAAGTCTGGTAAGAGTGTCTCTTAAAAAATAAATGTAATAATTGTTTCCACCATCTTTGTCTGTATTTTACTGATATTTCAGGCTTCCTAAATCTGATGTAGGCAACACAATGGAAGAGAGAGAGGCCACCGGTGAACCTTCATGGAAGGAGCAGCATGAATATGCTGCCACTGCAGAGCAAAAAAAGGTTAGTTTTTGAAAAACATCACATGGTTCCCATAAGTCTCAAATATAAAAACAAGTCATCTCTGTGGATTTTGTTGGGAAGGTCATATTTTTGACCAATACTGCTGCACCACTGCATGTAAGCCAATTCCATAGCTCTTACTCACCTTAAATTTGGCTGTTCTCATCAGATCTGTTTTAGTTTAGCTTTTTGTTTTTCAAACATGATATGTAGATTGTAATCTGTCACTTATATACAGTTGCCACACAAACATACACGTTCTTTTCTTCATCTTGACAAAATGCGATTACGTCACCCAGATCTTAAAATGATCCTCACAAGTCATGAAAGTATGTACACATACTCTACACCACACACTATGCACATGGTGTTTTTCATTTAAGCACACCACCTGGTTAGCATTACACTTTAACACCAAGCCGCCCTCAGTGTATTCATATTCCTTCATCTCCTCTTAAATCAGCACTCCCTCATGACCTTTGACCTGTCTGTGGGACGTCTGCTGTTGTTCCAGCTGCTGTTGTGCCATCTAAGCAATAGCGTATTGAACACGCACTAGAGGATTTGTTTTTATGCTTGTTCATTGAAGCAATTTACTGTATTTTGAAGCATGTATTAGAACAGTTAATTTATGATAGCTTGTACTACAAAAGGCTTTGTGTCTCACAATTGCAACATTACTTGGCATATGTTTTCTATTGTGTTTTTTTCTTTTTTGAAAAGCACAACAAAGCACATGCAATCTCCCAAACAATGGACAAATCCCTCACTTTCTTGACACACTGTTTGTTTCTGTTTGATTCTTAATCCCTAAATCCTCCATATTCATTTGCTTATCCCCACCTTTATGTCCTTTCTAACCACCTTTCCTGCTCCTCAGACCTACTAACCCTCAGCCTCTTGATAACAGCAGTAGGTCACTGAAGGCATCGACAGTAGTAGTTGGAACAGGAGTATGTGTTTGTATACATGGAAACAGTCCATGAGACTTTTAGACAAGCAATAAGAAGGTTTTTACCATTTATGAGGAAACTACCGAAGAGTTGCTATTGGGAAATGTTGGTCCGGTCAGTGAAAGTTACATACTATAATCAAGCAGCGCCGAATACACTTATTCAAGTGGTGCTGCAACTTTAATAGTTTGTTCCAGATATTATAAATATAATTCCTGGTAGTAAAAAGAACTTTGTCCTTTTTTCTCCCGCTCTACATCAGCCTTCCAGTCTCCTCTCTGACAGCAAGAACAGAGACGCCTCTCCTCCTCCCTCTCCTCCCTGCCAGCCTCCCTCGCTACAGCGCCAAGACTCAGGGCCTCGAGGCATCAAGGGAATCCTTAAGAAAAGCCGCTCTACCAGTGTGGAGTCCGACCACAGCGAGGGCTCTACGCCTGAGTGCCCGCCAGCCCGACAAAGCAGCGTCACCCTCAGCCACCCTGAGAGTGAGGAAGAGACAGAGGAGGCATATGAAGAGGAGCAGGAGCAGGAAGAGGAGGAGGAGGAGGAGGAGGAGGAAATAGAGGAAGAAGTCAGTGAGGAAAATGACAGAGAGGATGAGCCATTAACTGATGATGTCACAGACGGAGGGAGCTTCAGCATCGACAGACAAGAGTGTGGAGGAAGCAGCGGTAGCAGTAGAGGGAGCTTTGAGGAGATGCGAAGTTCCTCGCCTGATGAGAGCCTGGAGAAGACCTCCACAGTGTCAGAGGATGTTGAGGAGCTGGAGAGCAGTTTGGATGGAAGTCTGGGCTCGTCACGCAAACAGAGGTCATTGGATAACAAAAAGACTGCGTGCATTATGTTACAGTCGGCGTAATTTGTGTGTCCAAAGAAAAGCGAACAAAAAATATCAAATATCTTAATAAATCTCAAATATTATACAAAAGTGTGAAAGTGAGTGACAGGCCTTTTACACATAATAATAATAATTAATTGATTAGTAGCAGTTGTATGGATTTTAGCTAAAGCTGACAAATAAAGATAAACTCTATGCTTATGATAAATACTGAAACATGAGTACATCCTTTTAATATATTTAAGCGTAGTTTTGATTCATTTTTATTTGAGGCATGTGACCAAAGCTGCCAAAAATTGAATATGCTGAGCATCATTACGCGCAAAAACAGTAAGTTTAAAAGTCTGAGTTTTCCTAAATATAAAGTACAGTACTTAGTACATTAACTTATGACTGGGTAACATTCAAAAATAAAAGCCAGGGAACTCAACCTTTCTACATCTATAATACTCAGACTGGCATAGTAAAGGTAAATCAGTCAGTATGTTTTAATACCGCCTTAAGAAATTAAGGAAAATAACTTATGTGTGTTTTTTCCCTTTTCAGTCTGGCAGAGTTGACTGGGAGAGACAATGAGAAGAGGGATACACCGAAGAAGGCCAAGCCATCTGAGCTGATCCAGACATCACTGGCTGATCGCTTCAGTCAGCTCCAAGATTCTGAAAATGCCTGGAGGAAAAAGGTGAGTGAGTTTTTACTGAACCTTTCCTTTGTGTAGTGGGGTTAAGTTGTTGGTCAGTTGGGATGAATAACAGGTCTACAAGACTTCTTAAAAGTAAAATTTTTGCTGCAACATCATTACTGCAACATCAACTATGTAATGAACAAATCCTGCCATATGTCGAGGCTTCCCCTCAGCTTTGTGTGCCGGGAAAGAAAGATTTGGCCGCGAACACATTTCTTCCCCTGCTGAATCAGCTTATTTCCCCGGGTGGCTGCCAAGAGGGTGTGAGGTTAGGAGGGCTTTGGGGGGGGGGGGGGGGGGGGGGGGGGGGGGGGGGGGGGGGGGGGGGGGGGGTGCAGCACATTTGGGAGTGGTGATGCCAAAGCCAAAGATCCAGGGCTTAGCTAGCCTCCCAGAGAGAAAGAAAGACACACCCCCTTCCCCTTGTAAAAATAAAATCCTACACCATGACAAACACCTGCAAACCGTCCGAGCTAATGCCTGCTTCCTTTGCTGGGTTTTGCACTCCTGTCTCTTCTCTCCTCAAGGTTACAAAAATAATTCTCTCCATAAATAAGCGTTCTTCATAGACTTTCTTGTTTCACAAATGTACATAAACATCCAGGTCAGACAGTTTTACAAAGCTCAGCTCAGGGTTTAATAAACAAACGCTGAGACAACTGACATTTTGAAGTGGTGTTGGAAGTACGTGCAGGTTTCATGCTCTTCTCCTACACAAACAAGGCCACCCTCTCTGAGTATTCAAGTGGAAAAAGAACATTGCACTACATAATAACGACCTTACAGACCTTACACACACTGTGCAAGAAAAGAATGATGCTACAGCAGAGGAAAAACCCTGTGTGTGCCACATGCACAACAGCAAAACAGTCAATTTGACAGTAAGGTTGAAGTGATGTCATGTTTATTTGTATGAAGCATCTCTTGGCTTGATGTTTGTAAAGACCAGTGATCCTCTTGGGGGATTTCTGGTTTGGGCTCATCCTTCATCCAAAGATGACCTAACCTTAGAATAAATTCACTCTTAGTCTGGAAAAAGCCTTTTTATGAGTAAGTACAGACAGCCAAAAATGTGGACGAATCCCCAGTCAACTAAATACTTTAAAGTGATGTCATTTTACATTTGGTCTGTCTTCATTGTGATAAATCAACACGAAGTCCGTAAAATTTAGTGTAATTCCATTAATGGCACAAAAACTGCATCCTCAACACTCCTGGACGAACGAGGACCAAACTGGTGTCCAAAAAGTCTGCGGATTTCTCCCTTTAACTGGATCTGAGGTTATTGCTTGTGAATTGGTCTGGAACCTGCTGTGAACTGTGGCTGCTACTGTAGAGCTCTAGGAAACTGACTCACATCAGAGATGTAGATAATGCATGCTTTGGCTAAATTATTGGCAATGATGCCATGTGTGCATTAGCTATGGGGCATTTACTTGCATGTGACTATTCTTGTTACATTTACGTTTCCCTCTTGAGGGAAAGGCCGTTGGTTTAGGCATGTCAATTTATCTCAGACACTGCCAAACTGGAGCAGATGTTGTTGCTCTTTGGTTGATATGTGGGAGACCAGGGAATGTAACATGCATGGTACACACCATGGTCATCTCCAACCAGCTCCAGATGTTTCCTGTTAAGCTTGCTAAGCTGTTCTGTTCGCCATACTTATGTTGTAAAATGAGGCCTTGTTGTAAATTTAATTTAAAGAGGGTCTGTCATGTCCTGGATAATGATCGTTAATCATAAGTTACATTGACTCTTTGCAGCTTGTTACCAGTTAATGATTAAGAGTATACAACTTTGTCAATATGAATTCAGTTTGAAGTTGCAAATGTTAAAGTGTCCTTTACAAAATCCATACAGGCATTGAAAGAATATTTGAAAACCTACAGTTTTCTTTCAAATCCTCCAGGATTTACTTAATGCCTAAGTTTTGTTTTCCAGCAATGAGTCACTGAAGACCAGTCTGACATCTCTCCACAAGTCAAAACACTGACACTGAAGCTACCCCCACAGAAACTTTACTCCATTAAGACTCGGCTGGAAATATTGTCCCTGGAGTGTTGATTCCCAGAAAACGGATTAGAGATAATCAACTAAAGATGAGTTGATTATCTCAAATACATTGAGTGTGTTGAAATAGGCTCTCTAAATAGGCATGATCCATGCAAAGTTAATGCACTGATGGGAACAAACTTTTGCCATTAATTCCACCTATGGGGTGAGACATTTTCACTTGAGCCCAACTAAATCATGAAGCTAGTCCCATACCGTCATAAACCGGAATGATTCACATCATCTCAGTTTATGGTGTTTGATTTCTCCTCATGCATTGCTATAAACAGTCAGTTTCCCTTTTCCTTTCGCTTTTCCATTCTCCCAAACTTTATGCCAGGCTTTAAATGACCCATATCTGTTCTTCAGTCTCCTGTGCTGAAACCTGCTCACTCCAGCTGCTGCGGTCCAATGTCGCCCTGCCATGCTTTTTCTTCTCCGTTCTCCTCTGATAATTTTCCTTTCCTCTTCTCTTCCTACTATTCCTCCTCCCTTTTACCCTCCTTTCCAGTTTCCTCTGTCCTCACCTGTGGAATCTACCCCTTTTTTTGACTTTGACACCTGCCTGTCAGCCTTTCCCTGTCCCTTCAGGTGAGTGTTTGTATATAAATATGTACCATAAGCGCCACTTTGCATGGACTCAATCGCTTAATATTTTCCCCCTCTTTCTCTACCTGTGCTCTGGACAAACTCCCCCCGTCTGAAGATTACCACTGAGAAATCAGAGCTGTCGACACACTTGCCGTTGCTACATGAATGTGGTTTGCTGACCCTCAGTTGCTCGATATCTGTGTCAGTGGTTTGGCTGAGGTGCTGTCTGCACCATACAGTAAGGCAGGGCTGAGAAAAATAGTTTCCTGTGGGGGTTTGAGGCCCAGGCTCTTTCCTCTCCTCCCCTCTCTCTGGGGTCCTGTCAGGGCAAGGTATTTCCCTTCTCTGATTGACTCCAGAGATGGGCTGCTCGCTGGAGGGGCTGTGTCAATATGTGAGAATGCTTCAGGACTGTGTTAGATGACAGATATTGTGGTTTGTGTTGGAGCATGACTATGAGTATTATTGTACTAGGAGCTTGTTGTGTACAAGCATTTTGAAGTGGTGTTTTTGAATGTTAATAGTTCAAAGAAACAGGATTTCCTCAATCTTGTAGTACAAATAAAATGAAAAACTCACATACGCCCTCATGCTACATTCAGGACGTGTATGTGGAGAAACATCTCTGTACGTCAGATGTGTCGCATTCTCTCATGTTATGAAATCAGCAAGAGCTCGCTTTGATGTTTAGCCCCAGTGTGTTGTCTCTGTGTGCATGCCAGTGTGATTAAATGTATTTCTTTGAACTTTTCTCTCATGGCAGGCTAATATTTGACCCCATGGAGCAACATGTTTGACATTAGAGTGCAAAAAAAAAAAATATCTGTTACCACTTGTTACTTTGCCATTGTGTGAGTGAGGGAGAGACAGATGGAGAAAGAGAGAGGGGTTTGGTGTGTTTGAGTGGAAGATTGTTTGAAAGAAACTGGTGTTTTTCCATTCATTCAGTACATGGCTGTTTGTTTATTTAAGCATGTTAATTGAGGACAAATACAAAGAAGTCCTCAGACCGTTTATTTAAATTTTTACTCTCCATAGGAAGGTGGTTTTACGGCAGTGCAGTTTCTAGCTGTAAGTGAGTAAGCGGGGATAGAGTGTCTTGCTTAGGGACAGTTCAACAGTAAATATATTGTTGGAACGGGCTGTTGTGTGCATTCAACTTTTGACCTTCTAGTCTCTGAGTCTCTCCAACCACTGGGTTATCTTACTTCTTGTGTAGCAACCACAGGTTCTGACCTGTTTGATTCAGATCTGTTTTTTTTCTCTTTGGGAAGGTTTTTTTTTGGAAATACCCTGAACTGTAGTTAATGCTGTAGTGAGTGTTATAGTTGATCCACAAAATGAATATCTGTTTTAATTGATTTGGATTAATAAAATGTATGAGGTGGTAGCTATAAGAATGGAATTAATCAGTTAGTAACCTTTAACCTTTGAAAGTAGTGTGGTAGAGCTGAAACGACAAGTCAAATAATCGATTATCTATGGTCAGAAAATAGATTTATTTGATGATTAATTAATATTTCGAGCAAAAAAGCCCAAACATTTCTTGGTTCCAACATCTCAAATGTGAAGATTTGATGTTTTTCTTGATACATGCATGATAAACTTAAACATCTTTGGGTTTTGAACTGTTGGTCAGATAAAACAAGCAGTTTGGAAACGTCACCTTCAGCTCTGGGAAATTACAATGAGAAATTTTCACTATTTTCTGTCAGGTCAAAAAGATTTATGGGGGAAAAAAATACAGACATTAATCATTAGTTGTAGTTCTATAGCATGGTTTGTTCAAGGTTTGTATGAGTTACTGTCACAGTATCCAGGCATCCGCTGGGTAAGAGGCGGAGCACACCCTGCGCAGGCCCCCTTTTCGGGCTCTACTCATGATATTGCTCATTAGAAATTCACATCAACAGATTTGGAAATGTTGTGACCTAATTCTACTTCACAAAACACTGAAGTTACAGTATGACATATTATTAGCTTTTTCCTGCTGTCGCAGGGCTGAACAATTCATTTTGAAGCTGTGATACCAAAGTACAACTTTAACAAGCTGTAGTATTTTTAATAAAAGTACGGCACCAATCATTTATTTGCTCGCTCTAAAAGCAACTGCAGCCAAAAAACCTAGTCATCTGTAGCTGATTAAGGCTAATTCTGGGAGTTGGCAAAACTAGGATATTAAGACTCCTACCTGTTGTCTGGTTAATATGGTCTTTCCATGCCAGTGTCTGTACTATTAAAACTCAGTAAGGAAGAACCCTGCAGGTATCTTGTTTATTACCACATAGACAACCAGGAAAGGCCTGGAGATAATCTATAAAAATCACAATATTGGTAAAAAAAAAAAAAAAAAATCAGTTAGAGGATAGACTACTTATTTTGCAAGGAGACTCTTCCTGTTCTAATGCCACGCTGACATCAGTCTGACTGCAGTTCACCACTTTAGCCCAACATCTTTTTCTCTTTAAAGCTGCTGACATCTGTGAATGTTTAAGTTGACTCTTCAGAGCATACAGCAAAGATGATGTTATAAGTTATAGTATGACAGTCAGCAGATCACACACAGGCCATCTTTCATCCACAAAGCACATTCCTCTATGACTGTAACAAGCTATTTGGTTTTCGGGAATCCCAATCATTTGTTTGCCATTTACTTTAATTTCATGCAGCACAAACTGTCCTGCTGTTGCCCTCATATGACTAAATGCTGGATGTTACACAGCACATAGAGCACTAGTACAAGAATTGTTTTGGCTCCTGCCTGCAGCTGTTCAACAATTGTCCTCTGCATAATACTGTTTGTCTGCTTGGAATTTATTTTCTGTGTTTCTCCTGTGTAGTCATTCTGCAGAGATGGGTTTTCCTTTGCGAGACTAAGCTGCGTGTAACGCACTGCAGAAAGGAAGTCACCACTCATGCTACATTACACATAGTGAATTGCTCATTATAAGTGAAGGAATAAGGGGTGGCAGCCAGTAAAAACCCAGGCAGGGCCATAAAACGCTTCAAATATTTAGGAGTGGAATATCATTAATTACTGTAACACTGCTCCTGGGGTCCAGTGGGACCAAGAGGCCCAGTAAACCTCTGCTAATTCATTTTTAATGATGGAGTTCAGGTGCAAAAATGGCAGCAGGAGTAAATCACGATAAGGAAAGCTCTACTGAGTGGTGGGTGATGGATGGCCTTGTTATATAAACAGGGGTTTTGGTGTTTTATTGTAAGGACTCAACAGCCTTCATGTTTTTTGTTTTAAAAATAAAGTTTGAATGACACAGTAAAAAACCGCTGCGGAAGTAGTTGTTTTTGGAAGAAGCCACCCTCCTCCAGAAATAATTAAAAGTCATGGGATCGTTCATAGTTCACTGTTAGATTAATCTCTGCCTGTGTGGTTGCTTCACTGTCTTCTTTCACCATCACCAATAGTCTCTTTTATCCTCATGCAACCTCTCTCACTCATGGTTACATCACTGTGTCCTCATAACTGTCTGTTCCCATGTGAAATAAATGGACAGTAGGATAAAAAGCTTTTACTCTTCAAAAGATAGTCCTAATGCTATGTCTGGAATTTAATTATTTTTCCAACAGAAGTCCAACCTAGATGTGGAGCCCAAGATGTCGCTGGTAGAGAGGATGAAGATCCTCAAGCAGAAGGAGGAGCAGTGGAAGAGCAGAGGCAAAGGAGCAGCCAACGACTCCATCCAGTTCACTGTGGCTGGACGAATGGCCAAGAGAGGTGAGTTTACTCTGAGTGGCCTTCAGCTGGTATGAGCATGTTCATTGTTCTGCTGTGATAGGCAAACTCTCCATTCAGCTGCATGACTCCTTCAAGTGTCTCTCAGGTCTTTTATTTGCCTTTTTATACACGCACACACACACACACACACACACACACACACACATACATATATATTTATATATATATATATATACATATCATTAGTCGTCAATTCTCCCTTTGTGTTTCACCAGGTCTTGTGTCAGACACAGGAAAGGAGGAGTCACCACTTATCTCTCTCAAGAAGTCTAATGCCACACCCGTGAAGCCGCATGAAGGTATATGAGTCTGTGAATCAGATAATCAATCAGCAGATGTTATGAATATTTCAGATATATTGATACCTTGAACTAGACTCTTGCTCTCATGTGAGTCACTAGGTACCACTAATTCCAGAGGACAAAGACTTCTATTGAATTTTGAAAACTTGACATTAATGCTATAAATGAATCTTGTTCTGAAACACTGAGTGTACTGAGCCACAGTTTATCAGACCTCTGTTTGTTTGTGCTGGACAGAAATCTCCAGTAGAACTGATGTCAAAGTGGAAGGAGATAAAAGACTGGACAAGCTTGAGTCCTTCCTAGACAAGCTCCACAATAAAGGTACAACCCACCTGTTTGTTATTGTTTTCCACATAAGATTATATATAATTATATATTGTGTGATTAAGCATTGTATATGTTTCTTTTACTGCCACATAGCCATAGTGTACATTACATTACAGATCTCAATCATTACAGAACTTGTTCTTTCACTATTCACCCAAAGCACAACTCGGCAAAAAAAAAAAAAGCATCATTGGCAAAAGCCCTAGTTTACCACTTCCTGTTCCTTCCCCTCTGTTTCCTCATGGTGGTGGGGTCAGGCGTGAGCAAAAGCAAGACATCCACGATTGAGGTGACGGCAGAGATGGAGAAAGAAGTGATGACCCTGGATGATGAGGAGACCTTTGGCAGCTTTTACAAATCTGTCTCACCCACGACTCTGCAGGACTCCAGTGTGGTCCTTACTGAGGAGGACCTCAGCCAGATTCAGGCTGATACACCAAAGTTAGTTTGTGATAATCATAAATTAGTTAGTGGCATCTTTACCCCTCCTTTGAAGATGTTTACACGATCATTTGCCCCCGATTATGTCTTAACTATTTTCCTTAACAGTATTAATACATTTTAACTTACATTTAACTTATTTCTTGAACTTGAAAGTTTGTCAATTTCAGGTCTTAAGTTGCCTGTCTTTATAATTTTCTCTGTTTTGTGTATGAATGTCTAAAGGCTCACCTCAGCCGTAGCAGAACACAAGCGTGCAGTGCGACCAGCCCGGAGAAATCAGGGCTCCAGGAACCCTCTGCGGGCTCTGGCTGCCCGCAACGACCTCCGGCAGGTGTACACTGAACAGAGGCTTAATGTAGCCACAGTGGAGACCAAGAGGATCCAAGTGGAGAGGAGTAAGACTGCTCTAACTTACCTACTGTGCTACTGCTAAGGTTCTTAACCTAGCTAAAGTTAAGAGTCTTAGAGGGCTCAGCAGCTTGAAAGGATCAACAAAAGTTAATCCCATAAAAACATTGATAGAAAAACTAGCAAAAGAATGAGATTATACCCAATAAATATAGTGTCCTTTCAGTATTTTAAATTCAGTCTCATGATAGCAAATTTCCCATCAGTTCATGCAGGAAATTGGACAATGACTTTACATGTACTGTAGTAACCCATTAACTGTAGGTCTGTATATACTGTACGTGCAGAAACTCAGATTTCTTCTTACCCCAGACCAGAGTTATTTGGGAGCCATGACTTGCTTATTTCAAGGATTTAGACTTACAGAAGCAATTTTGTGTCAGTTTCAGTTGGCCTTTTAATTGAAGTATTCTGAACACAAGGATGCATCATTTCATATTGCTGCATTGCTGCACTGCTGTCACAGTGATGCTAACTCCAGCTGAAGTCTTAGGACCAGTAGAAATTTAGCTGGGGCAATTTCTCAAGCGCCCAACCTGATTTTAGGTACAAGCAGCTCTGCTTATTAGTTACCTGATATATTCTGTTTGTCTGTGTATTCTCTATATTCAGTTCCCCTCTATAGACTGGGCTGACCTCAGAGACTTTTCTCATTTATGCAAGAGGAAGCAAGACAGTTATATATACCCTGTCAAGTGCAGCTCACATAAAAGAAGAAATAAGAGAACACATCCTGTCTTTTATAATCTATGCTAAAGCTTTGTTTGTGTTTGTTTTGTTGATGGCAGATTAAATCACGACACTGCATTAGTTCAACCTTTAACCTGTAGTAGTTGATAATTGTCATAATTGTCATTTTTGCTCTCCCACCCAGTGGCAAAACACTCCAACCTGGCCGATGTGGCCTTGGCAGGCCTCGCCAGCAAGGAGAACTTCCGCAAGGTCAGCCTGCGCAGTGTCAAGTCCACCGATGTCGTGACCAACAACAGTACACTGCCTTTCAACAAGCTCATGCTTATTCGCATCAAAGGTCAGAAACACAAGAGAATGTGCTGTGTGTTTGTTTTCTATAAATATTTGTTGAATGCTGCTGTGATGTGTAGTGATTAATCACCCAGAACCATTTATTATAAAGAATGACATAACACTCAAAACTGCAGCTAAGAAGAAGCTCTCAAATGTGTTTCTTGTTTCTTAAGAATATGAAGTTAAAAACCAAAAAAGAAAATAAAAATTTTAACTACGGATGAGATAAACGCTATTAAGTCTGGTTGCAAAGACATACAAGCTGCTTTGTTGCTGTCCGTAGGTCGGAGGCATGTCCAGGTGCGCTTGGTGGAGCCCACAGCCCACTCTCTAAACAGTGGCGACTGCTTCCTTCTTATAACGCCGAAGCAGTGCTTCATGTGGAGTGGAGAGTTTGCCAACGTCATTGAGAAAGCTAAGGTAGTGAATCTCACACATACTTGGATGCTTCAGAGCTAGCACTGTCAAGTTTAGACAGGTACTGCTACATCTTGATAATGTTGAAATAGAAAAAAAAATGCTGCAGAAGGAAAATTTCTGCCCCAGGTAAATCCATATTTGCGTTTTGATCAACATGCCCTGACTAAATACAGACTTCTTACTTCTCTCCTTGCTGTGCTTGCTGAGATAAATGTTCCACCTCTGTACAGTTGTAACATGTTCGTTATTCTTTGTGTGACCAGGCATCAGAGATGGCCTCGTTCGTTCAGGCCAAGAGGGACCTCGGCTGCAAGGCCCCCCAGGTGACGGTGCTGGAGGAGGGTATCAACACCGAGAGCCGATGGGCCAAAGAGTTCTGGAGCCTGCTGGGAGGAAAGACCAAATATAGAGGTACATAACACACACATTTACTATGTACACTGAAGGATGAATGCCAGCAAACAAGGTGATCTCAGCTGATCACACACAGGCTTATACACACACTGAATAGTTCACATGCTCATGATCATCATCTGCTTTCTCTCTGTCTGTACCTCTGCTGGGTAACAGTCAAACTTTTATTTTGGTATTTTAGTGAAAGTGAGTGAGAACTGCAGTTCTTGTTTATACTTTATGCTATAATATAACACTGTCTAGTAGAGCTGTTTTTCTTAAGAGTACGTCAGCTGTGTTGATGCTTTCTGACTCAAAGGCTTTGAAGCTTGGCTTACCATGTGAAGGTAAACCACTGCTGTCATACACATAGGCTTATGTTGGTGTGTGTGTGTGTTTATAGGGGCAGGGGAGCCGGAGGAGGATGAACTGTATGAGAGCGGGGTGCTAGACTCTAATGGGGTGTACAGACTCCAGGGAGACAAACTGTTGCCACATGAAGATGCCTGGGCCTCCATCCCGAGCGTTTCCTTGCTCAATTCTAAGGAGGTAACACCACCTTAGAGTTGTGACCTCAAAAAAGATGATGAGGATGAAAGGCTAATGTGAAAGTTAGAGATGTTAATAAGACATCCCTAATACTCATTGTACACATTTATGATTATGTTTCTGTTGTGTTGCATGTTGTAATAACTGCGATAACACCAAGACATTTCTCTGTTTTCTCTCCACCTTCCTGCTGCTGGTAATACCCCACACCAGGTCTTAGTGTTTGACTTTGGCAGTGAAGTGTACGTATGGCATGGGAAAGATGTGCCCTTAGGTGATAGAAAAGTGGCCGTCAAACTGGGAAAACAGCTTTACAGTGGCAGCTACGACTACAGCAACTGCAGAGTCAACCCTTTAGATGCCTCCTGCACAAATAAGGATGTGCCTCAGTGAGTATGACCGACAAATCCCACTCAACTATAAAAGAGATTTTGTTAGATTATTTGTTGTGTTATTGTAGCCTCTAGTGGTTTGATTTTGCCAGCACATCTGCACAAAGAAGCCTTTTTTTTTTTTTTTTCAATTTTTCAATGATAACTTACGTGTCAGTGTGTGTGATTGTGTAATTGTGTGTGTGATTTCCAGGCAGGGGGAGGGTCGTCCGAGCTGGGCTCTGTTTGGCCGGCTGTCAGAGCACAATGAGACATCGTTGTTCAGAGAGAAGTTCCTGGACTGGGCTGAGAGGAAGAAAGAGGAAGCAGCTCAAGCTGAGGAAATCAAGGTAGAGATTAGACTCACTGTAAACAAAATATTAGCAGTGACTGTGGATATCTGACAATCTGTTTTAAAGGAATTAAGTTGAAACACTGCTCTGCTCCAGCTCTTTAATTAATGAATATACTGAGTGAAGTAACACATTTAAAACTGACTTAAAAACATTGTTTGTGTGCTCAGAGTCCAGTCCACTCCACTGTCCGCTCCCCACTCGAATTGGAACTGCAGCCATTCGATGCCAGCGCCCTGCTGGACAATGAGCCTGAGCCAGTGAAGGCTGTTCTGGAGGGAGTTGACGTGCAGCGGGGCCACGGCCTGGTGAGGACCGAGGATGGTAGGCAGGCAGAGTTGGCTACAGTAGCTGTAGACGCCTGGCACATCAAAGAGCACAGTGAGGAGGAGCTGCCTAAAGGGAGTGTGGGCCAGCTACACGAGGGCGATGCCTACATCATCCGTTGGAAGTACTCTGTCACCACATTAGGTGAGTCATGCTTGTAATCCAGCATTAGCCTGAAGAATAAGAATTAGACTTGTGAAATAGGAGGTTTGAATATGATGAAATATTAGTAAAACATGGGAGAAAATTAATGGCAAGAGGAATTAGTATCTGTCTGACTTACTCAAAATACTTAAATCCAATCTATTTGGAAAGCACATGTATGAGTGGGAACCATCATATCGCTGAAAAGGTGAGAAAATAATCACATTTAACTGTGGATGACAAGGTTTGAAAGAAGAGAGGCTTTAGTGTTGCATTGAGGGCCTGTAACTGTCCAGATATGGAAGCAGAAGTCCTGATTTCAAGCCCTGGGTTCACTCTGGTTCTGTTCTCTCAGTGGGGAAGCGGCAGAAACCCGGGGAGCTGAGCGCCGGAGCTCCTGGAAGAGAGAGGACCGCTTGTTTTTTCTGGCAGGGCCGGCATTCCAGCATCAGCGAGAAAGGAACCTCAGCTCTAATGACAGTGGAGCTGGGAAGCCACCGGGGGTCACAAGTGAGCATCAGTTCATCACAGTCGCACACAAATCGAAATGTTATTATCATTCTCCGTTATTGTTATTGGAGGCATGGTTCCTGTTTAGCAATGGAAAAAAAAAAGATTTGTGTGGATACAGGTGTTGGTGAGTCAAGGGAAAGAGCCGCCGTGCTTCCTCCAGCTCTTCCAGGGAGGTTTGATCATCCACAAGGGCAGCAGAGAAGACAGTGCCAACAACACAGGTGAAAAACAAAAGAAGATGTTTGTTGTTTTCAGTGATGCTCTGTACTACTGCTGATTGAAGGCTTTAACTCACTGTAAAATATTGTATCAAACTCATCAATACCACATGGTGAGTTCAGACTTCTTGACCACTTGTGTTAACGATGGACTCAGATTTGTCTTACATTTTTTTATGTCACAGTAACACATTGAATTTTTAAAGTCATATTCTCTCGTCCGTGTTCAGATGGCTGGAGGTTGTTCTGTGTCCGTGGTGAGGCAGATGTGGAGGCCTCACTGGTGGAGGTGGACTGCCAGCGTGCCAGTCTGCGGTCACGCGCCAGCTTAGTGCTTCTTAATGCTCAGAAAGCTCAACTCTACTTGTGGCACGGCTGTAAATCACACACCAGTGCCAGGCAGGTGGCCAAAAGAGCTGCGGACAAACTAACCCAGAGGTGTCCCTCAGAGTTAGGTCTGAACAGCACCAGCAGCGTGAAAGTTGAGGAGGTGGAGGAAGGAGCTGAACCCTCAGAGTTCGTGAAAGCTCTGGGCTCGCAGGACAAGAAAGCCTACGACTGTATGCTGCAAGGTGAGTCCTCACAATCACATGCTACTTAAACCCACTGAGCAACTTCCCAAATTATCAGCAAGAAAGATCATCAATGATTTGTGTGTGTGTCATCTCTAGATCCAGGGAAGTACAACTACACACCCCGGCTGTACCGGCTGAGTGCCAGCTCTGGGCTGTTTGAAGGGGAGGAGCAGCTGTATCCTGCCCGGGTGATAGAGGGAGTCATGGCGATGCCTTTCCTGCAGGAGAACCTCTACGCCACACAACAGCCAGGTACCACACACCTGGAGCAATGTTACAGCTCAGTGAATTATATGTTTATTATTTGCCTAATACTTTCTATTAAACTAAACATCCCACTTTGTTTCTGGAATATAAGTCGATGTAAAACTGTGTCTGATATGTGTGATATGTTTAGAATAAGATGAAAGAGCCAGTGGGAGTCAATACTGGAACAGAAATATATCTACATAATATTTGACCCTTAGTTGAGGAAGAAGACATACAAAATTAAATTTGTGAACCAGCAAGTGGACAGTATTTACATAATAAAAATGACTCCTCTTGTTAGGTGATATGTCAGTGGCTGTACTGTAAATCCAAATTCAAAATAATTTGTACATTTTAGAGATTCATCCCTGATCTGAATCAGAAAGATTTTGCAAAAACAAAGAGTTTGTCTTGGCAGGTTTCTCATCCAGGACACAAAGAAGCAGCAGACAGAAATTACAAAGATGTTCAGTTTCACATTGTTCTCAGTTTGAACCTTGGACTGATGAAAACTTAACAATAAGGTGCTGGAGTTTAAAAGACTCTTTCACATGCTTCTCTGTTGATCAATATGTTTTATTGTTAGGGCTTCATGTGCAACCTTCTAGCCTTCACAACGCCTTCAGTAGAACATATTACCCCATTGTGCCATTGGGTGTAAGTGCTCTACCTTCCTATCTCATTCTCATGCCATGACTTCTCCAGCTCTGTTCCTGCTGGATAACCGTATGGAGGTGTACCTGTGGCAGGGCTGGCAGCCTGAAGACACGCAGTGCACCGGCTCTGCAAAGATGCGCTGGGACAGCGAGAGGAAATGTGCCATGGAGACTGTGCTGCAGTACTGCAAAGGTCCGAGTTCACAGACAGAAATTTTGGCTAAAAGCCCAGTAGTGCTGAAATGTTTATGTACTGTAATCAGACAGGCGCTCTCATATATTTCCTCTCCAAAGTGATCATCTATGGTGCACATAGAACACAATCATTTATTAAATTAATTATTTTAATCTGAAATAAACTCTGTGATCCTGTTGCTTATCTTGCTGCTAAATAATGATTTGTATGCTTTTGTGTTTTAAATATTGATTTATTTTATTTTCAACTACCTATAGTAACTGACACTAAGTACTTAATTCTACCAAAAACACAGTTAGTAAATTTATACTTCCTCCATCCAGTAGCATCACCACCTTTGCATTTTAGTTTTCATCTCTTCTCCAATTCTTTTTTGTATGATTTACAGAGAAGAACCCTCGGCGACCCCCCTTGGCTTACCTGGTCCTAGCAGGCTGCGAGCCCCTCACCTTCACCAACATCTTCCCATACTGGGAGAAGGATACCAGCATCACTTCAAAGGTAGGAGCCATGTAGTTGACTCCAGAAAGAATCTAAATCATTTTACTCAACTGTTCAGATAAAGTGCCATCGCACAGATGCGTCTATTAAAAGATGGCATGCAGAATCACATTAAGTGTGAAGTGAAGAGTTGTTGGGGAAAAAACAGACTTCAGTGCAACAGAGGTTTGATCTAATGAAAATAAGAATTTATGTGAATTTTAAATGCTCCCTTAGACTGAAACCAGTGACCTTTCAGTTTCCAAACAGCCTCATTAAACTCATGAACAATGTAATATATTGCCTGGTGGTATGAATTTATTTGCACATATTTACATATTATCTATTTAAATCTGTTGTGTATAATTTAAATCTTAAATATATAAATGGAAACTACAGTAGTTAAATTTGACATTTGTTTATTCTACTGTAATTCATATGTGCATGCAGCTTGAGAGCTCCAAGAACAAGGTGATCTTGGTGAAGGAGGCCCTGTCCAAGCTCAGTAAGCAGCAGTACTCCATCGAGGAGCTGACCCGCAAACCGCTGCCGGAGGGAGTGGACCCTCTGCGCCTGGAGGATTACCTGTCTGACGAGGACTTCAAGGTAGGACACACCTGGTGACTCCTGAAGGATCACACAGCTAAACACTTACTGTTAGAAGACAAGAGGAACATTTAACAGCAATATTCAAACACAACTGATCAGCACCGATAAGAAATGCAAAGTATGAAACTTAAAGGTTTAAAACAACAAAAATCATTTTTGCTTCCATCCAGTAGAAGCTTCCTGGCAGGTAAATGAGTTGTGTGTTTGCTTTTGCTGATGAGACAATCGTACATAGTTATTTAGTGCATACCTGACAATATGTTAGAGCTGATAAACATGTATACAGATTTGAAATATTCCATGGAAAGAGATCCAGTCTATAACTAATGACTGTCGAAAACCTCTGTGCTTTATGTTTTACATTATAATGTTATTACAGTGCCAAAATATTGTCACGTTATCTGTTGTGTGACATTTTTCCTCTTACTTTTGCAGACACTTCTTGAGATGAGTCGAGTTGAGTTCAACGCCATGCCAAACTGGAAGCAAAAGAACCTGAAGAAAAGCAAGGGTCTGTTTTAAAACTAATCTTTTGTACACAGGCTTTTCTTTTCTTTATGTTTTCTCAGCAGCTTTTCTTACATTTTTTTTTATTCTAAGAAAAAAAAGAAATAATGTCCTTCTTTTGTAAAGGATAGGAAAAAAAAGCAAATGTACAATTTTGTTCAAATGTTGATCTATTTTTAATAACAGTGCCATTTTTAATGTTTCTCTGTGTCATTGAAATATTTAGCCAACAATTATGTGCAATTGTTAATCTTTTTGATAGTATGTTTTCTTTGTATGGTAAGAATAGTTACCCCTGCATTATAAATATGTAATATACTATAAATGAATGTGTTTTTATGTTTAGTCCAGACATGTCGATTTTTGGGTGAGAATGTGTTTGTATGAAAGTAGCCAGTGGTTTAAAACTGGGAGATATTCATCGATTTTTACATTTCATGGAAAAAGTCAGCCCTGTGTAGCGTCAACAATATCTCCACTCTGAGGTTGACAGAGACAAGCAAAACAAATGAAAGTTCAGAGAGCAATCCCTATAATATGTGGTTGTTTCAAAGAAATTTGGTGGTTTCAAACAAAGGCTGTATGCCAGACATCTTGTGCTTTAATTGTAATGGAAAAAATATTAGTTTTTATCTATTTTGACCAAAAAAGATTACCATATTCATTTGTGTGATGAGGTATTTTTGTCGCATCAGATTGTGACCTTGTGAAGAGCAGAAATTGGTCCAAATTAAAACATGAAACTGAAACTCTGACTTTCAACCATTAAACTGATACTGTAGTCAGTGTCATTGAAACTGGCCCATAATCTTTGGTACTGAATATTTCCTCGCTCTTATGAATAACTTCCTGCCAGTGGTGGCAGCCCTCTGATAAACCGGTTGTTTGGGACCAATTCAAATGTTTTTGTCTTGTCATAAGTGTTTTGTGAATCTGTGGATGGGTGCGTTTGTGTGTGTGCGTGTGTGTGTGTGTGGGTGTGTGTGTGTGTGTGTGTGTGTGTGTGTGTGTACAACTAAAAGTATTAAGTGTGTGTATGAAAGAGAGACAGTGAGAGAAACTGTGCAGTAGAAACTGCGTGTTGTAGCAACAGCTGTGCTCCTTGTAACAGTATGTTTATGTATAGACCATACTTTGATGTGTGACTTAGGAAATTCTCTGCATGATCACGAACATGTTTTGCTTAACAATCCTATATGAATTTGTTGCAATATGCATCTTTTGTTGTGATATCTAAGATCTGCATTATATGTGGAGATGGCGACCAGGCCAGCTTTTATTTCTTGGCACATAAAAATGAACATTGGTGGTTGGGAAATGAGATGCTCATTCCCTTTTTAAATAAAATATTTAAAAAATGTTTGCTTCTGATCTTTTCAGCAGCACCGGCGTGAATGCCATAGTAACATCACCCTCACGAACAAGATCCATCAGAGATCACATCAGACAGAAACATGATGAAAATGAACAATGGCTCACTGGAACAGTTTGAGTAGAACAGAGGCATTGTTGATGTTATTAGTGCTCAACCTACTATGGCAAGTCATAATGTCTGCTGTGAAAAGGCCTGTTGGGATCAATATTCCAACAGTTACTGCATTGCAAACACAACAGTTTATTTCTTTGGAATAGCTAATCACAGTCATTTATTTTATTGCTGTTTGTGTTTTTTTTCTTCAGTTTTTAAAAGTAAAATGATGCGTTCTTTGCTGTGGGCCTGAAAAGTTTACTTTTTCCAACCTGTGTTCCTTGTACTGCTTTAAAGCCAAGAATCTATTGTGGCAACACAAGCTTTTACAGTAGTTGGACATGATGCCAGCTAAAGAATCTAAACACCAAAATCCTGCCCAGGCTGTGAACTCTTATAGTGGAGCAGTAAAACATTACAGAGCAACTATTTTTCAAAACATCTTCATAGGCCTTTTTTTTTTTTTTTTCACAGCAGGGATTTAAACTTGTCATATCAGGAGAAGCACAGGTGGAACTAATCACATTTACCTCGCCTCCATCTCATTTAGGGGTGTCGGAAAGCTCTGCGAGTGAGCCAGCAAGCACAATGCCAGAGCTGGAACTGCTCCACCTAAATTGAATAAAGCCCAGCATTAATGTTATTAGTAACACCTGTGTTGGACAAGTCAAAAATGTCCACAGTCTGGTCCATGAGAAAGGTCTCTACAGCTTTGTTAGATTAGATGCTTTAAAATCTATAAAGCCATTAGACCACAAATGGCCATTTCATCAAAATATCTCAAGGAGCCACATCTGGCAAGAATGATGTTGTTAGTTTTGGCTCATTTAGAACTACGGTGAATAAAACAGCTGGGACATCACACTCAGATATTCAGTAAGCTCATTGTTGTCATCATATTGTGCACAGGCTGGGAGCCAATGATTATTTGGCCACTTGGAGGCAGAGAAAACGAGCTGTAAACACACTGACAAAATGTTGCTTTTACATTGATAATGGCAACGTGCACATTTATGCATTGAGCACACGGTAGAGTGACACTAGAATTCATCTGGAGCTATGTTTGTCCACTTCACTGATGTAAGTCCAATATTCACTCTCCTTTTTATCTCAAATCCTATGAAAAATCTCCTGGGCAGGCAGCATCAGAGTATGGTGGCTGAGAGAGCTCAATGCACTTTAAGAAAATGTATGCAAATTAAGAAAACATCCTCATCAATTTGTCAACACGTGTGTGCTGCAAATACACGCAACCAAACCACATACAGAACGCACATCAAGTACCACAGACAACAACTCAAGTGTTTCCAGGGGACACAAAAACGTGGCCTCTGCGGCGTCCAGTGACAATTCGCTGTGGGTTCAGCCTGATGATTGACCTTTTTCATATACAAGCATTCATTGATCTACATAATGGAAATATTGATTATACAAGACCCCGGTGTCCTCAGTATCTACATCCGTGACTGCGTTACAATGTAGTTCTCTACTTCCAATTTTTCTGAGGACATCCTGAAGTCTGCTTATGTTTGCACCTTTGCAAACTGCTGCATTAGGTAAAAGGTAATCATGACAGTCATGCTTATATTTAACCACCAGGGGGTGTTGTCTGTCCAACCTTTACCTTCTGTGAAGCATTTTTCTGTAAATCTGTGCAGCCTTTTGTGTTGTGCATTATCAAAAAGGGATGAGAAGAAAATTAGACATTTAAAACAAACCAAAACAAACTTGTGAGGCAGAATGAACATTTCTGTTTGTGGGTGGAGGTTAGACTGAGGAGGTACATCTCGAACATTGTGTCATAAACATTCATAAGTATCCATTAAGTTCTGCCTGACTCATGCCTTTCACTGGCCATTTTAAACAGCACCTGCATGGCTGGGATGCAGTGCAGCTGTGCATAACACACCCAGGGTCACTGACATAGCCTACAATATAAACACTCAGAGATAGGCATGTATTACATAAAGGAAACATTTATTCAAACATAAACGAGCTCTGCATCTCTTCCCTGCAGAGCCACATATCACACTGATGCCAACAAACAGCCCTAAAGTTACTTCCACAACAGATGGCAGGAGGTATCCGCTGCTTCCTCCAACAGCAACTGGGCGGCTGGTTTGTTTATTTATTATCAACTCTGTCCTGCGAGCATTAATCACCTGCATCGCTCTGCCTTCTGGCTCAGGTGCCACAGCAGCCCACAATGCGGCTGACAGGGAGGCAGACACTGAAGCTGCTGATACAAGGTAGATTAGCTTGAGTAATAACGCGCTGGATGTGAGCTGATGGAGCTGGACGAGGAGCTTCGTTGGGCAAAACAGTCTAGAGCTTTGATCAGGCCCCAGATTTTGACTGAGCATGAGCCCAAAGAGTTCCTGAATTCAGTCTGAACCTGTCTCTTCATGAAGTAAAACAAAATTCAAAAACAAAAATTTCCCTTCTCCATATGTGTGTAGGTGTGCTTATAACTTCATAACTGCAACCCTCCAATCCTGTTTGTTTTCCTTAACTATACTGATGAATGTTAATTATAGACTGAACTTTCAAAATAAAACATTCTGGGTTGTGTGAAGTTTTACCAAGGTGACAATACTTTTAGCGTCAACACACTAGTTAGAGGAATAGTTTTAGGACATTATGGAGATGAGAAGACCAACATAACTCTCGTGTGTACGGTAAATATCTAACTAAGGCAGCATTCACTTAGCTTAGCTTAGCATAAAGACTGGAAACGGGAGAAACAGCTATAGCCTGGTAACAGGTAACAGGTAATTAAATTCTCTAAAGTTTATCACAGTATATTTTAAAAGTTTTAAATCAAAGGGAAGAAATTAGACATTACAGTGTTGTGAAGGTTATGTGCCCCTAATGTTTCTTGGCTGGGAGCAGAAACTTCCTGGAGTATCTGATGTTTTCCTGGCAGACTTCAGAAAGTCACAGCTCCCAGCCAAGAAAGAGCATAAAACCATAAGTTGTCGTTTTTATGCTTTTTTTTTTAAATTACAAACTAAATATATTGTATCAATTAGCTAAACCAAGCCAACAGACCACTTCCTGTAGTTTTATTTTAATGGTACTTGAATGAGAATCTTCTCCACAAGAAAGTGGAAAAGTGTATTTCAAAAAACCATTTCTTTAAGTTCTTTGTAAAAATGGTGGAACGGGGAGAGACTTCTGGAAATGTTAGTAACATACTGGAGGCAACCATAACAACATGAAACATCGAGTGTGTTTTCCACAGTTCATTCCAGGCAACATTAGGCTGGACTTTTAGACTCTCTTGCATTTTACCCCATAACTTCCTGCAGTTTGTTAAAACTGTCCTTGCCAACCTCTATTCACTGGTGATTCAGAGCACTCTATGTGCAGATTTCAAAACTTAAAAAAAAAAAGATAAAAGTAGTACCAGAGTTATTTGATTTGTGTATGTGTGTGTGCGTTTGGCGTTTAATAGACGCCAACTTCAAATTTTCCCAAGGCAAGTGATTTCACTCAGAAAGAGCCAAACAATGCTAATCTGCAAAATACTGTACATGTCCCCTCGCTTTTCTTTGAGGTCTTCTTTCATTATAAGATAAGATGTGTATTAGCTGGAGCAGCAGAGATGAACTCTGGATGGAGAA